AGGTCTCCTCTAACCCACATACGTGTAAGCTTATGTTACACAGAAGTGCTTATGTGTGACCTAAGTGTTCTGTCACTCACCCATGTGAGTGCCAACAACAGGCATCGAGACCAGTCCAAAGCAGACATTAGTGAAGACAAGGAAGGAAGGAGAGGGAGAAGAGGCTGGACAAGGACACTGGAAAGGCAGCAATGAGGTGTGGCACAGAGAGGGGAGACGCGGCCACGGAGCTGGGCTCTTACTTCACTCTGACACTTCCTGGTTGAGGGACCTTGGGAAAGTAACATTGCTTCTCTGGACACCAGTTCCATCACCTGTAAATTGGGGCTGATAAGAATACCTAGCTCCCAAGGTTGTTGTTAGGCTGAGAAGTGGATGTAAAGGCATTTTTAATGCACCTTAGAATGGATGTGTTGCAAAACAGTGTACTGCCAAAAAAAAAGAAGCCCCCACTTTCCAGGGGACAGATTCATGGCTCCAGAGGTCACTGTGGAGAGCCCCAGAGTGCTCACGAATGCAGGCACTGAACAGGCTACCACCTTACAGTTCCTCCAGACTGCCCCAGTCCCGTCCCCATGGGCAAAGCCAGGCAGGGGAGGGCCAGAGCCCAACCAACAGACAAAAATCCAGCTAATTAGGCAGCAAGCTCAGAACTTAGAGGGAAGAAAAGAGATGTGAATAGGCAGGAAATTAAATGATCATTTATTAATCCTCTAGAGGGCAACAAGAACTTAAACTAATCAGCGCTGAGAGACTGTGTCCTGGTTTTATTGATGAGCCATCAGGATCTCAGAGCAGTACAAGGATTTTCCCAAAGTCCTGAGCCAATACATATCAGATCAAAGTCTGACACACCCAGGTGAGCCCAGGTGCTTTTCATCAGCTTGCACAAAAAGCAACTGGAGATGTCACTCTGATCGGCCCCACAGACCAGGTCAGGAATAATCCGGCAGCACGGTCGGCGGTCCCATCACACGCGAGCGCCCTCCTCGACCAGCAGCCCCCATAGCACCAGGACTTGCCGGCATGCCAGCACCCTCCCAGCTCCAGCTCCTGCCAAGGTGGCACATCTCTCCAAGAATCAGAGGGAAGGCCACAGCTTCCCCCTGCCGCCTCCCAGCTGCCCAGTGGCCCCAGGACTGTTTTTCAGGTCTGTTTCCCTTGACCATGACGGCAAGGGCTTCCTAGGCCTTAGAAATGACAGAAATTCCAGGCAATGCTTTCAGGGATCTTTCTCCAGTCATCTCTCCCTGCCCTCGTCTCTTTGCTGTCTCACAGAACTGAGCTCTCAGGTCAGCTTTACAATTGGAAGTCTCAAGTTGTACCACCCCCAGGGAAGGAATGGCGGTGGGCAAGGGATCCCTAGGGTTTCCTGGGCTCCATGCAGCACCTCTCAGGTAGGGGCCAGTGCAGGCTCTGCAGCCCTAACCCCAAAGCCCTTGACTTTCATGGGGTTTCTCCAGTCAACATCTCCACCCTGAGCTCCAGGATGCAATGCTCCAGGGCGCCTCCTCCTCCCCACCGCACCGGCCTCCAGGCACGCACTCCCCTGTTCTCCTACTTCCTGCCTGGGTCCTGGGCCCAGTCACACAAGCCAGACACCAGGAAGTCCTTCCCCCCTTCTCCAACCTGCACCCCAGTCCCACCTGGAGCCTGAGCCCTGAGCTGCAGAGCTGACTCAGCTCAGACTCCCAGCCTCATCTTCATTAGGCCTCCCACACCCCCACACTCCCCACTCTTCTCTGCCTCCTCCACAGGGCCCACAGGGAGCTCCCTTTCAGAAAGTGAAAACCAGGCTAATTAAGGCTCATAGCTTTACATAAGCAAAGGAGACTTGCTGCATTCCTCCTATTTTGTTCCTGGTGGCAGGGCGCCCCTCTGCCCGCCCACAGTCAGGGCCCCACCCCCAGGAGGCCCTGGACCCTGGCCAAGTGGCTCCTTGCCTCTTAGCTGACTCATTTCGATCCTAAGCCCTAACCGGAAGTTACCTACTGCAGGTGCACGGCTACATGGAAAGGCCCAGCAGGCCTGGCTGTGAACCCCAGCTCTGCGGCTCCGCAGCAGGGTGAGCAGCTGACATCACTTCCGTGAGCCCTACTTGTTGGAGAAACAGAAGGCCCCTTGATGCCCAGGGACTTCGTCCCAGGCCCCCAGCGGATGCCTGCAGCAGCCAATAGTAGCACAGCCCGCGCACACCAAGTCTCTTCCCAGGCATGCCAGGATGGGGTTGAACAGATCCGTCCAGCGTGGAACAGTGTGGCCGTGCTGGGGAAAGGAAAGAGCCGCCTTTGGGCCAGACGGCAGCCCGGTGCGAGGCTGCATCATGCTACTGGGAAGGGCATAAACTTAGGAAGTGTTTACTTCTGGAACCTTCCATTTAACACTGTCTGGACCGCGGCTGACTGCACGTGACTGCAACCACAGAGAGTTACAGCTCAGCCAAGGGAGGCCCCTTGCGTGTCAGGCTGGCTTATTTAAAGATGCTAAAACAGCCATGTCGCCCAGAGTCCTCGCAAAGGGAAACGATGCGGAAACGGGACACGGCCCCATGCCGCTATGGATAGCCCAGCTGTGGGCAGGTTTCAACTTGTTTATTTCCATGTTGTTTTCCCTTTGTGGTGTTTGTTTCTTTCATAGTTCCAATCCTAGAAAGCATGCAATTTTAATCTCTGCTTCCTCCCCACCCCCAACATCCCCTCAAGTATTTGCCCAGATCATCCCATGTTTTCACGGCCATCATTTTAAATGACTGCTGAGCATGGACTATTCCATTAAAAGTGTTTCACATTCTATTTGGCAGAAGGAACAAATTTCAAAAACGATTCTCCTATTTGTCTGATGATTATAACAATACACGTTCATTGCGTAAGACTTGATAAGCACAGAAAAGCAAAGAGAAGATGAAAATCTCTCTCAAGCCCATAATTCAGAATAAATTACCCTCCAAGGGAAAAAAATGTGGTTTTTAAGAAACTAAGAATCTTGGCGCCGCGGCTCACTAGGCTAATCCTCCGCCTTGCGGCGCCGGCACACCGGGTTCTAGTCCCGGTCGGGGCACCAGATTCTGTCCCAGTTGCCCCTCTTCCAGGCCAGCTCTCTGCTGTGGCCTGGGAGTGCAGTGGAGGATGGCCCAAGTGCTTGGGCCCTGCACCCCATGGGAGACCAGGAGAAGTACCTGGCTCCTGCCATCGGATCAGCACGGTGCGCCGGCCGCAGCGGCCATTGGAGGGTGAACCAACGGCAAAAAAGACCCCCCCCCACTGTCAAAAAAAAAAAAAAGAAACTAAGAATCCATTCTAGGGAGGCAAGCTTGTTGACAGAGCCATGATACAGTTGTTGAAAGTCTAGCATTGCTTCCAAACTTTGATTTTCAGAAGAGCCCCATGGCAAACACTCTTCTGTATCAATCTGGGCAAATTTGCCATGATCTCTGCTTCCGGGAGGCCAGATCAACCTTGTCCCCTGGTCTTGATGCACACATATTATGCACCACAATGTCACATGTGTGTTCCTGCAGGGGTGTGCTCACTCGTACAGGGATCTGTGTGCAGCTGGGACCACACTCACTGGAACCACGCTGTGGAACAGACACTCAAGGTCCAGGGAAAAAGAAGAGCAGCGCCTGCTCTCAAAGCCCACACCCACAGTCCAAGGATATAAATGGAGGTGAAGGAGCTCAAGGTGCAGCTGGGAGACAGACAGTCCAGGACAGAAACACTCCAGTAAGTGTATCCACATGCACATTCCAGTTGCTGGACAATCGACCAAAGGCTGTTTTCACTTTCAAAACCCCTGGTGTCCCAGTTGACATAAACGCTACTATTAATGGTGCACTTCTCCCAAAAGATCCAAGTGCTTTTCATGCAGTCCACACTCCATCCACACAGCAGCCCTACTATTAACTCTGCTTCATAAGGGTTAGTCACTCTGTCTGATAGATTAGGTGGAAACAAAGCTCAAACTCAACCAGACCACTTCGATATCCACCCATGGAACCACGTGTCCTCCTGCCCCCACGGCTGAATTTGCGTCCTAAATATCTTCTATGAACATCCACAACTCTGTCCGCTCCCACCCTTGTCTGAACTACTCCTGCCGTCTCTAACTTGGACCACTGCAGTAGTCTGACAGCCGCCCCAAGCTCCCTCCTGACTGCTGTACCCAGGCACTCTGTAGAAGTCTGTACGCTTTTCCCAAAACCTGGATTCGATCACTTCTTGCCTCTTGTTGAAGTCCCCTAGAGGCTTCTTGCTGCATCAGGCATCACCGTTGGATCTCTCCATACAGCTTCCAAGGCCTGGCCGCCTCTGTCCTCTCCTGCCTCATCTCTGTTTGCCACCCCACCCCACCCCCCAGCGCCCATCCTCATGCACCTTATTTACATCCAGGCTGGCCTCGGGGCCTTTACACAAGCTCTTGTCTCTTCAGCCACCAGCACCTGCTCACCCCCACTTCCATCTCAGCTCCCACATGACTTTCCGGGAAGTTCCTCCTCTCACCATCACAGAGCAGGCTCCACGGCTCCCTCTCACAATTCCCCACGGCAAGGAGTCTTTACCACAGGCCCTGGTGAGCCCTCCACCAAGGCATAGCAGGGCAACCGTTTGGTTCTCACTACCCAGAAGCCAGATTTTCTTTCCCTTTGTCTTTGCAGCACTTGTTACAACCTCTCGCACTGACTACAACTTGAAGCTCTGCACACATTTCCACCACGTTTCCCGCAGGTTGCGACGGAAAAGCAAGAAGGGGACAGGAGAAAAGGAATGAAGGAGGCAGTATTAACTCCCAGATTCCACAGAGCATCCTGGAGGACAAGAGTGGAGCTCCCGCTGTCTGATTAAACGCAGCAACCCAGAAAGAGGGCTTCAAGGAATTCTCCGGGCAGCGCCGGCGCAGTCCGCGCCTGCGTGGCAGGGCCGGCGCCAGAGGCCGGGCGGGGGCTGAGCTGGCCGTAGCCGGCCTTACCTTTGCTGTGTGTGTTACACCATCAAGAAACTGACCGTAAACTCGGCGATTTTCGGCACCCGGAACTTCCCTTTGTTCTTCTGTTCCGGCTGATATTCCGTTCTTGTCTTCACGATCACCTGGAAGGGTCACCCAGGATTAGCGCACGCGCACACTAGGAACAGCCCCCCCCCCCCGCACGCGCCCCCTCCTTTTGCTTTTTTTTTAAATCTACTACCATGGCGTAAAGATCAGAAGAGGAAGAATTCCTGTCTCCCAAACACTTGCCAGAAAAGAGAAAATGTAAGCCACACTTCCCTGTTCCCACAGACAACCACAGCCGACAGCTTTGGTTATACCTTTCCAGGTGCTGCATAGACATACGCATATTATATGTATTCGCTATTAATGAGAACATCTTAACGAAATGGAGTCATATTTCATGAACGACTTCATCACCCTTTATCATACAATACTATACTTTCTCCCAAGTTCCCAGTGTAGAGAAATGTATGATTTCTTTTTGCCTTTTTAAAAATGATTTATTTATCTGAAAGGATTACAGAGAGAGGGACACACACAGAGAGAGAGAGGGAATCTCCCATCTGCTAATTCACTCTCCAATGGCTGCAATGGCCAGGCCTGGGCCAGGATGAAGCCAGGAGCCAGAAGCTTCATCTGGATCTCTCACATGGGTTCAGGGACCCAAGAATTCAGGCCATAGGCCATCTTCTGCTGCTTTCCCAGCCACATTAGCAGAGAGCTGGATTGGAATGGAAGTGGGGCAGCTGGGACTCGAACCAGTACCAATACGGGATGCCAGCACTGCAGACAGCAGCTTAATCTACTACACCACAGTGCTGGTTCCCCACGCCATTTGGTGGTGTAAATTTCACTGCACTCATACAGTACAATTGACCTAATCAACCTTTAATTGAGCATTTAGATTTTCCCACAGCTCTGGTTATACAAGGGTACTTCAGACAGTTTGTGGAAAAGTGGAATGAAAAGATGTTTGTTAGTTTTGGTACAAAAAAATTGAAATCCATGCATAGTTTTTTCATAATACACATTTAAATTTTTTGAAGACCCCTTGTATGCATAGATTTTTTTAAAAATTTGCACCAAAGTAAACTTACTTTTAATTTCACTTTCCATGAACTTTTTTTTTAAAAAGATTTATTTATTTATTTGAGAGGCAGAGTTACAGAGATGGACAGATGTCTTCCATTCACTGGTTTACTTCCCAAATGGCCATAATGGCCAGAACTGGGCTAATCCAAAGCCAGGAGCCAGGAGCTCCCACTGGGTCTTGCAAGCAGGTGTAAGTGCCCAAGAACTGGGGCCATCCTCCACTGCTTTCCCAGGACATCAGCAGGGAGCTGGATTGGAAGTGCAGCAGCTGGGACTCGAACCAGTGCCCACATGGGATGCCGGCACCGCAGGCAGATGCCTAACCCACTATGCCAAAGCACTGGCCCCTCCATGAACTTTTTGAAGTGTCCTTGTATAAATAATTCGTGTGGAGGGTGGCGCTGACATTGTGGATAAAAGCCACTGCCTGTGATGCCAGAATCCCATATCAGAGTGCCGGTTCCAGTCTCAGACACTCTACTTCCAAAACAGCTTATTGCCAAAATGCCTGGGGAAGCAGCAAACGGGTCTGGGTCCTTGGGCCCTGCCATCCACACAGGGACCTGGAGAAAATTCCTGGCTCCTGGTGTCAGCCTGGCCCGGGCCCTGGCTGCAGTGGAAGATCTGTGTGTGTGTGTGTGTGTGTGTATCTTTGTAACTCTGCTTTTCAAATAAATATAAATTAAAAAAAAAAAAAAGGATATGCTGTCAACCCAACAACCCAAGAATGGCACTCCATCCCCCTATACAGACAGAGTGGAAGGAAGAGAAACCTGGCAGATCATCAGTAGCTATTGCCAATGCCCCAGGCCTGCAGGAACCCAGAACCGACTGGGCCTTGGGGCCCCACCTAGCCATGATCACAACCCCACTTAGCAAGGTTGCTTCTAGGGCTTAGCAAGGTTGCTTCTAGGGCTCAGCAAGATGATAACGAGTGGTAGCCTTGAGCTGTTTCTGTGTGCCAGCACTAGGATCAAGTACTTCATGTCCCTTAGCTGCACACCATTACTATTTCCACCCTCTTGACAAGGGAGCTGCAGCTCAGGGGTGCTCAGACACTTGTGCAAGGACACACAGCTGAAAGGAAGCAATCTTCTAACCACGATCACTCTTACAGCTTGAATTCACAGACTTAGAGCTTAAAATGACGAATTTTCCCCGAAAACTCCCATCATCTTTTCACCAGACAACAGTCAGGTGTATTGACTGGAGCACAAATTTTCCTGGAAGAATGTTCTTTAAAGTCTGCAAGCCGTGGTAGACTCCCTGCAGCTCAGAAAGGAAGGGAGTATCTACCTTGCGGCACTCAAGCATGTCAGTTAAGGAGGCCCTGGGTCTCCTCCGGCCTCAGAGCCCATTTCCAGGTATGAATTCTGCCATTGTGCCCCACCCTCTCTGTAGTCTGCTCCTCTAAACAACAAAAAGACAGCCCTTGCCTGCTGCTTCAAATAGGAAAGGGGTGCAGCCCAACACAGACAAGGGCTTATAGTGTGTGGGGTGGGGGGAGGAATCTACTCTTTTTTTTCTTCCTTCCTACCTCCTCTGCCAAGGCATGGCGACACAGAAGCCTCTGTACCATAGGTAATGAAAATAACTCACATACTTTGCATGTGTGCTTTAGGTTCTAAGCCAGGAGCTCCTTGATTCTACACCATGAGATATTGATATTGCTAATATGGTAGTGGGGGAGGGTTGGAAGAATGTGGGCTGCTTTCAAATCCTGGGTGGTAGCTTCGGGTGAATCCTAGCAGCCTTCTGTGTCTTGGTTTTCTCATCCATGGAACAAAGGAAATAACTATAAGTATCTCGTTGGATTGTTATGAGACGTAGATGAGTTAACACGAGTTAAACCCTCAGATGGTTGAGTGAACAACAAATGTTTCTTTGAACTCTGCCTCCGGGTGCCACCACGGTTTGTTCTGTGGCTGTTTGAAACACACATGAGACTGAGCCTGGCTGTACCTGTGAGCCTTCAAGTCCACACAAGACCTTCTCAAGGGCAGAGCTGGGGATGCGCGTTCGGCACAACAGCTAAGACACTGCTTGGGACACCCACATCCCTCATGGCATGGCGTGGGTTTGAGTCCTGGGTCCACTTCCACTTCCACTTCCATCATCCTGGGAGGTAGCAAATGATGGTGCAAGCAGTTGCATCCCTGTTACTCCCATGGAAAACTCCAACTGAGTTCTGAGCTCCTGGCTTCAGTTTGGTCCAGCCCCTGCTATTGTGGGCATTTGGGGAGTAAAACAGTAAACGAAAGTTCTCTGTCTCTTGCTCTCTCTCCTGCTCTCTCTCTCAATCTCTCTCCCTCCTTCCCTCCCTTTCAAATAAATTATTTTTTAAAAAAATTTAAGAACAAGGCTATTAAGCATGCTCCTTCCCACACTAATGGGGAGGGGAGGGAGGATGGAGTAGGGGTGGGATCAGGGTTTGAAGGATGAGTAGACATTTACTGGGTGGACAAGAAGGCAAGCGAGGACATTTTCTATAGAGAGAACCACATGGTCAAGGACACAAAAGCAGGAAGTATCATGTGGTCTGCAAGCACCTGTTTCACAAGGAGCCACCATGGGAACGGGAAAGTCAGGAACTAGCAAAAAAATACCAGAGCAAGTGCTAAGGCAGAGCTCACAGGATAGGGGCTTCCACTGTCACCTAAGACAACATTCCAGGCTGGAACAAGTGCAGTAAGACATGTGCAGGTGACTTAGGAACTTAAAAGAGAGTCTGCAAATCCCACTTACTAGAAATACTTTGGCTATCACTGGATCCATTGTTAGGTGATGGTGTGGTACAGAAAAATGTCTTATCATTTCCCTGAACCCATGTTCCTAGAAATATTCACAAACTTGGATTTATAATTTCATCTCCATACATATATGTGTGTGTGTATGTATATTACATTCACAGAAAGTAGAATTAAAAGAAGTTTATTTTGATACAAAAACAGTTGGGGTCTTCAAACAGGTTCATAAAAATGTATATTATGCAAAAACTATGCAAAACTAGTACAAAAATTTTTGCACTAAAATAAACTTATCTTTTAATTCCATTTTTCCATGAGCAACCTATTTTCATTTTATTTGAAAGTCAGAGAGACAGAGAGGTGGAGTGAGATCTTCCATTTGCTAGCTTGCTCCCCAAATGCCTACATCAGCTAGGGCTAGGTCAGGCTGAAGCCAGGGGCACAAAGTTCAACATGAGTCTCCCACGTGCATGGCAGGGACCCAGGTACTCCTGTCATCATCGGCTGCCTCCTTGAATGAGCATTAGCAGGAAGCTGTATTGGAAATGAAGAAGCCAGGACTCAAACCAAGCCACAACTTAACTGTTTCCCCTCACTCCTGCCCTTCTATGAACTGTTTTAAAGTCTTCTCACATATACCTAAATAAAGCACAGTGGATATCCTGGTCAACATGAACCATAAGTCTAGGGTAACTATTGCCTTTTTCTGGGGGGCAGCATCGAACCCTAAAGTCCCTGCCTCCTGGTGTACCTTCACTATGTAATTTTCTCCCCAAGAATGTGGGACAAAGCCCTGTAGATAGTAGCTGAGTATAGTTCCCCATGAGCAGCCGACCAGAACACAGGAACTCAGTCCCATAATGACAAGGAACTGAGCTCCACCAATGTCCTGGATGAGCCTGGAAGAGGATCCGAACACCAGCCAAGACTGCGACCCCCCGCCCCCAGCACCTTGCTTTCAGGCTTGTGAGACCTGAGCAGAGAACTCAGTGTACCAGTGGCTGGACTTCCAACCCTTGACAGCTGTGAAAGGGGCCATTCATGTTGTCTTCAATCACTAAACCTGGGGTAATTTGTGCCAGCAATAGGAAATTAGTATACCTTCCCCCTTGCCAAGCCCAGCTCCTGGCTTGACCCCTTCCCTTCTAGATCCTCAGCCATCACACTGGTCTTGAGCATCTTCACGTCACACAGCAAATGTTAAGAAGCCTCTGCTTCTTGGGCCTTCTCTCTGCCACTCTTGTTCTCTCATTGTCTTT